GTGGGGGTGGTGGGTGGTGGTGGAGGGATGGACGGCGGAACTGGTGGGGGGATCAATAATGAAGGAGGAGGTGGGTCCATGGAAATTTTAATCTTTTTTAGAGAGAGAGACTTAAGGTTGAGAAATTGAAAAGGAGATTAGATAGGGTGAGTGTCTGATTGGGAGAAATTGAGAAAAAATTGATTTTGAAACGACGACGGCGATGATGTATTGCAATTTGCATAGAGAGCACTGTATGATAAAGTGGAAAAATAATATATATATATAAATATAAAATGAGGAAAAAGAGAGAGGAATCGAACCGTTGAGAAGGGCTTTTATTTACTTTGTTTTATTTTTATTTATTTTATTATAAAAGGGGGGGTGACGTTGTAGGGACTGTTTTTCTGCTACCTTTTTTATTTCGTCATCTAATCTATTTATTATTTGTATTTATGTCCTTTCCTTTCTGTCCTGTGGCATATCGAGCCAGTCATTCTTGCTCCCCTTGGAACTTAGCCCAAGCTCATCTTCGTTTTCTGGAGGCATCCTCAGTTCTATTATAAATTTATAATTGTCAAGTTCAAGGCGAGGACCTGTTCCAAAAAAATGTTTTGGGTTATCATTAATTATTTTATTAAATAATATTGTTGTTGATATTATTATTTTTTATTAATTAATTTTGATTGTGTTATTCAAATCACTAAAACTATAATTAGATTAACTAAGTTTTATTGAATTAATATTTTTTATTCAAATTATATTTTTTCCTCAAAGTTATTAAACATAATTTGACCTATTACCAGATTCATGATCTGGATCATAAATTAGATGAGTTCATTCAAATTAATTAAAACAATATTGTTTTAGATTTTTTTAAAAAAAATTAAAAAAACATTGTTTTGCACAAAAAAAGAGTTAGTTTTGATAAAATTACTAGGATCTACTGGTAAATTCTAAATTTTCTTTTTATATTTTATCTAGTGGATTGAGTAAGGTTTAATAATTTTATCTAACTAAAATTTAAATTTAAATTTGTATCAATCCATCGTAATTGGTAAGGTTTAACAAATATAATTTCTACATTTTAAATTGTTGATGTTCAATTGTTGTAATGCAAGGTGATTATCTCACTAGTGCATAATTGTTTAATCAATAAATGATGTGATTAACAAATAATTTTATCATTTTTTACGAGTCTCAATGAAAGTATTGATATTTCATCATTATCATATTCTTAAAGTTATGTAACTAGAAATGTTACACATGATTTTATAAAATTATCAAAAGCTTCATTTTCAATCACAATGTTAATAAGTTGTCGAGACTATCAAAATTTCATCGATGAATATTGGTTATTCCTAATATCATAAATTAGATTGATTTTAAAATTAAAGCAAATATAATATACATCAAGATTTCATTTCTCTATGACTTAAGTTATAAAAAACAAGAGAAAAAATAAATTATTCAATAATACAAATACAATCATCTTTCTATCATATACTTTGGAATTTATTTAGTTTCAAAATGTTAATCACTTTTACATAATTATAATGTAATTTTCTTTTTGACATGACTATAACATATGAGAAGGAAGTAATTTGACCAAATCTAGTCTTATCCAAGCTCTAGCTAGCTATATAGCTTATAGTTATGAAATTAAGTAAAGCTACTCTCAATTCAAAGTTCAGTTCATAAGTTAAGGGTTGATCTAGATCAATTTAGTTTTTGATTTTTTTATAAAAAATAAAAAATAATATTAATTTGGTAAAAAATAATGATAATTGGTTTTTCAATTGACTTGACCTACATTAGAGTCTGAATTAATAGATTATTGAGTTGATCTTCGTTGGTAATGATTTTGACCACAAAACAAGTTAAAATTAGTGTTGACGGGTTTCACTAGGTGACAAAAATGTTATGGTGGTTGTTTTAAGTCTCGATGTAGCCTAAAAATCAGATCTAAGTGAAGGATGCAATATTTTTTTTGTTTGATTTAATGGTTTGAACCTTTTTTTGGTTTAATGGGTTGATATGTTAGTTTCTCGGTATTCTAAAAGTGTTTTGTGGTTGAAATGGATTGAAAAATATGTTTTTTTAAGTTAAAAACTTGTAGGCTTGATTTTTCAGCCATTATAATGGTGGTCGGAATCTGGATTGACAGACAACACATGAGTTAAATTGATTCTAAAAAAGACTTGATTCATAACTAATACTCTAAATTATACTTAATGTCATTTTAAAAACATATTGGGATTTCATGTTATAGAATCTTTAAGATACATCAATACTAATAACTTGATATAGTTTGCACAATAAATAAACCTATAACACATGATCTTAAAAACATAATTAATTCAATATTAATGGTTTCAATAATCAAAGCAAAGAGCAATTGGTCCTATAAAGACATTATAAAACCTTCTTTAGATGCATTCACTTATTCGCGTAGTTTTTTACTTTTGCTGATTTGTACTAAAATGTATTTTTATCAAGGTTTTAAGTTATCATTTTGCATTTAAAGTATCAATAACTCCTTAACTAAAGCATGTTTTAAAATAATATATCTAATAATATAAGATACCTTTAATTTATGGTAAATGTTCATTTTAAATGCAGGCCTATCACATAAATGAAAGGATTGATTGATGAATTTAAGAACTGAAATTGAAAAGA